TTTCAACGATTTCTACGGCGTCTACAAAAAAAGTGTACGACTTTAAACAAAATGGCTGATACAGTGACGCGAAAGCAAAACGATAAAATTTACTCTAATAAGCCCCCAAATCGTACACAATCATAAGTACGCACAGTTGTATACTAAAATTCATTTGGTAGTATTTTTTATAATATAATGTATTTTGAAATAGTGACTTAGGGGTTAGAATTTTCGTTACTTTTTCTTCCGGGACCCAAGCTTACTTTCATGACAACAGTGAAAACGATAAATGACGATTCTCGATTCTGAATGTTATCACAGTCACAAAGAGTACTCATCCGAAATGTACGTGTAGTTCTTCGTAGAGCTTGTGCACTAAACGTGGATATTCTATCGAAAACGAGCTTAAAATTTCAAATTCGCGGAACATAAAGTGATCGACACAAAAATGAAAAAAAATGGTGGGCCTTGAAATCTCAAGCAATAGAGGGCGTACATAGCGCGACACACATCCTTGACGGATAAGGCAGATTCACACCTTTTAACAATAGCGTTTCCTAACCGTCTTTTTTAGTAACTGTGACTGCATGTAGACACCTGATTTTCAAAAACACTTTACCAAAGGAAATGGGTCGCTTGGGTCTACATTTATTGACATTGAATGTAGAATAAGTAGGTTTTGTTTGAATACGTAACGCCTGTTCTACACCTTGAGCTCAAGGTAAATATTGCAACAAGGCTGGAATCCGGACGGCTGTCTAGATCAAGCGACAACCTCCCCGGCCACCATTCTATTACAGGACCAAAGCTGGCGCCAACAGTGATGTGGGGATTTCCCAACACACAATGAAAATATATGTTTATTCATTACACATTAACCACAATGAAATGAAAAATCTGGTGTTATTATATTTATAATTTACTAGTGTCGGCTGTTATAATCTTTGAATATTGTGACTTTGGTTATTTTTCAATCAGATATCCATAGAAATTATTCCCGGGGTTGTGTCTTCAAAATGGCGCCTTATACGCACGCAAATGAACCCAATTGTTCGTTCGTCAAGTGTTTTTTTTCAATACATGTGAGTAGCTACTGTTTCGTTCTGTGTCACCTGTCACCATTGCCATTGTTTGAACTGAAATTGTTATTGTGATATATCGCTAAACAAAACAGGTGCAAATCTGTATATTTGGTGGTTCAATACATCTAACTGCTTGCGGACGAATGTAGCAGAGACAATAGAACAACCTGTCCAGCCTTCCACCAACACACACACACACACACACACACACACACACACACACACACACACACACATACTTGTATTGCAATATGTTCCGAGGACTTCATTGGATTAACTTTTAATATAGTTGAATTAACTTTTAATATAGTTGCGTTATGAACTCGATTAAAACGCGTTCCTATATAGGGTTGCGTTTTAATTGGAGTTTAATTAAACTCAATTACAATGCAATACAATGGAGAATTGCATTTTAATTAAGTTTAATTAAACAAGAGTTGAATATCCGGTGACTGAACATAGAAATGTTTGCGAAGCTTAGGTT